CAAATCATCTAATTATCATGCAAATTAGGTAATTAATATTCATAGATTTTTACCCAAAACTAATCAAATCTGCGCACTAGTTCAGAGCATCCATGTGCCAAATTTCATCAAAATCCAATGAGTGGTTCTTCAGATATCAGTGGAAAAGTCTTGGAACAGCTACAAATCATCTAATTATCATGCAAATTAGGTAATTAATATTCATAGATTTTTACCAAAACCTAATCAACTCTGCGCATTATCCCAGAGCATCTATGTACCAAGTTTCATCAAAATTTGATTAGTGGTTCTTGAGATAACGGTGGAACAAAAAAAGTGACATACATACATACATACAGACAGACATACAGACAGGGTAATTGCAAAGACTCCCTTTTGTGCTTCGCACACGGGAGTCAAAAACTGTGGTGGATTACTAACCAGTAGTAAAATTACAGAAATAAATACGCTGCCTAGACAACGAGTTCTAAAGCCAATTTGGCAGTAAACACAGAAGTGTTCTTTTAACCTTTAACCTTATAGAAATAAACACACAACACATTGTTAATGAACCTTTTATTTATTATGATTTGGAATAAAAATACCTGATGTGACAAACAAATTCTTAAACTCCTGGAGCACAGTACATTCACATTATCTGACTGAACTAAGATGTATTTTGCAGGCTTGTGTTGGATTGATGATATTAACTAATGAATGCTCTACTTTAATTAAGTGTAATGAGAAGCATGGTTTACAAGCTTGATTAAATTAAATAAAGTACTGTAAAACATGTCTTTTTAGCTAGCATATCATTGTAGCTAATTTAGCTACCGGTAAGCTATAATTTCGCTAATTCAAGATGTTGCTAATTTAGAATAAAGTATATTCTCATAATGAGATTGTTGACACTTTAGCTAAATTAAGATTTTGTTCAAATTCACTAAAAATGACATGTAGATATTTCAAAGTGTTTTACAGTATATAGTGAACAAATAGACAATTCAGCAAAATGTTTGCAAATTCTGTATTAAAATGATACAATGCTACAAAAGGGATGTAACTTCTATTAAAGGACCTAAACATATGAGAAATGGTGATTTTTTTGTTCTCAATTTTTCAAAAAGAATAAGTTCGGCTTCTATTAAGGATGCGGCTTCTAATACAGATTTTACGGCACAGACTACTTAGCCCAAACTTATTAAATACATACACATTTCAATCAGATCAGTGTATGTTCAGAAACATGGAAGCACCAAAAGATTTAAAACAAGTGTGCGTACATGGTATGTTGGATGCATGGATAGTAATACAGTTCTCCACACAGCCTACCATCCCGGTAATGCCCAATTTAAAAACTTCATACCAACTTCAAATCCAACAAAACAAGCCTGTGGTAAAGAACGAGAAAGCATGGATAATTTGATTTCAATAGCACATGTGTATGTTAAAATAGGTATACGGTGAGATTTGATGAAGCTCGCGCGCGAAGTACACACTGATGGAGTTTATACATGTGAACCACAACAATTTATGAACAACTACATTTAAGGTGTATGTAAACAATGGAAACACAGTTTGATGCCATGGAATCAGACTTGAAACTAGTCAAAAAAAATAATAATCAAAGAAAGCTTAAAAAGAACTCCCGTGTGCTGAGAGTATTGGAGACACATCTAAAATTAATTAAAAATTACTTGAACTTGAGATATTGATGGAATAGCT